TGCAATTAAAAACGGTGCAAAAGTTCATTGGAGAGATCCAAGGACAGCAACTGATAATGCACCAACGATATCCGCCGTTGAAGATTTTCTTAAACAACATAACGGTTTGGTTTGTTTTATTATTATTATTATTTTCAAATGTTTTTAAAAAAAATTTTGTTCAGTCAGCAAAACAAGTAGTTTATTAACAATTGTTAATTGTTATGTTTTTTCATACGTTTGTTTTATTGTTTGTAATTTTTTTTTTAGAAAGTGAAATAATTGCTGTGATTCAATGCACATCTCCATTTATAAAAAGTAATTTTCTTCGTGATGCTCTTGATTATATAATTAAATTTGATTTTGATTGCGTATTTTCCGTAACAAGAAGTCATCAATTGAGATGGACGACGAATGAAGGTTTTTTTTAATTTATTAATAATCAAAATAAAATACCGTTATCGGGTAGATATTAAATAAATAAATAAAATCTTCCAGAAGTTGTAATCCTTGAAATAAGATACCAACCAAGACATTTAACCTATTTTCTTTTTTTTGTTTCATCCTTTTATTAATCTTACACGGGATTAAAACGTGTTAATTTTGTTTTTTCCAGATGGATTTGGATCTCCTTTAAATTTTGATCCGAAAAATAGACCTCGACGTCAAGATTGGAAAGGAGAATTTGTTGAAAATGGAATGTTTTACATGGCAAAAACAAAAATAATTTTAAATAATAAAACATTACAAAACGAAAAGTAATAAAATTTTTTTAACGGACAATAAGGTAGGAAAAAGTGAAAAAAATTATTTATTTAATTTATTTAATTTATTACAGATGCAAACTTTTTGAAATACCTGCAAGATATTCGTTAGACATTGACACAGAATATGATTTATCATTAGCAAGATTAATATTATCACAATTACAAAATGAAACAATTATTAAAGATTAAAAAAAAAAAATATTTAAAACAATTATTAAATAAATTGTCATTTTTTTTAATAAATAAAATAAATTTTGTGTTTGTTTACGTAAATAAATTATCAACAATCATAAATTAATAATTTTAAAAAACAAAAAATCTGTCGCTTTTTCTTCAATTAATAATAAATAAAGATTTTAACATTAATAATAATAATAATATTAATAATTAATGATTACGCCTAAAAAAAAATAAAATTAGAAAGTATTTAAAATGAGTAAAGTCACAAATTGAAATATTGATTTATTATTAAATGAAAATTTTCTTTTTTAAAGTCACCTTTTACCGACTCCTTTCACTTTAATAAAAAAAAATGCAGCGGAAATTAAAATCGATCAATACTCAACTAGTCAAAATACTGCGCACAAAAAAAAAAGCGTACGAAATTTATTATTAATAATAATAATAACGATACAACATTTTAAATTATCATTATTATTATTTGTTAGTATAACGTCGGTTTCGGTAGTTATAAAAAAGGTTATAATGAAAAAAATTTTTTTTTTGGAGTTTTATCGGTGTGAAAAATAAATTTTCCGAACGACAAAAATAAGTCTGTTGACGCAGAATAAACATTCTATTTAAAATCGTGAGGAAAAATTTTCCAGTAAGTTAAAATAGATTTATATAAAAATAATAATAATAAAAATAACAATTTGATTATTGTTGTAATTTGTTTATAAAAATTTAAAGTTAATATTTTTTTTTTTTTGTATTTTAATTATTATTTTTTATTCCACGTACGTATTTGAATTTTTTTTCAATTTCGTTTTAATTTTTTTCAGGTAGCAGAAGAAATTATTTTTTTAGATAAATATGTCATTACCAATTCATAATAATAATAATAAAATGAGGAATAAAAAAAATTGCATATTAAAATTACATCACATATTAGATAAAATATATTTGAAAAATTTTTGCTGCATAATAAGTTTAAGACAGGGGACTTTATTAATTGCCATAATCGAATTGGTAAGTTTTCCTTTTTTCTTACACTATTTAATATTTATGATTATAATATTAGTTACGGTACTGCTCTAATGTTTACATATATATAAATAAATGAAATTAAAATTGCAAAATATTTTTCAGTCTTTGACATCATTCATGTTATTTTTACTTTTGCTTGGTATAACACACGTGCAAGACATAATTGAAACCGTCGAAGATGATTTGGAACAATTAGAAGAAAGCAATTGGGTTGTCGGACAATTGCAAGGACTATCCGTATATTTTAACAATAACGAACAGAAAATGTTGAGTGGTCAAAATTTGGCATCGTGTGAGTTTAACAAACATTTTAACAAACGCATACAAAATATATAGTAATCATTATCACATTTGTTTGTTTGTTTGTTTGTTTTCATTTCAGTGATGATGGTTTTGGTTTATACCGGATTAATCGTCACATGTATACATTTTATTTCGTGCGTTTTATTATTATATGGCGCCATTCGAAACATACCACAATTTCTTTTACCTTGGACCTTAACCGTTTTGTTTAGCATCATAATCGGATGTTCATTTCTTTTCATATTGATATTCGTTCCCTTACAAGGATGTAACATTGGTTTTCACGTTTCCGGAGCTTTTTTACTAACCATCGAACTTTATGCATGGCTCGTAGTATTCAGTTATTATAGAGAACTAAAAACTCAAGAATGGCGTTTTATTAAAAATCAAACGACGTAAAATTAAATTTAAATCGTTTAAATAAATTTTGCACTACTACGAATACTTTATTTATTTATTTATTTTAGTAATAAATACACGATTAATAACAAAAAAAAAAAAAAATTATAACAATACGTGTATTTAGATTTTAGATGATAGTTTAATAAAAATTTTAAATAACAATAACAAACAAAAAAATTTAAATTATTTATTTAAAAGTACAAATAATACTACTTGTTAAAATCGTTAAATTTTATTTTATGTTAATTAAAAACATGTTAAACAATCACATAAAATAATAAAAAAACCAGAATTTGAATTATAAACAAACAAACAAACACACTTATTTCTTGATTTTAATGCTCAAAATTTAAATTTAAATTTAAATTTATAATAAGGATATGAATGCAACGGTAAAAAAAATTTTTTTTTTGTCACTTTACAACTTTTTACATTTAAAAAAAAAGATGACGACCGATTTAATACTTGTTTAATGTTATACTGTTTATAATATATATATAGTTTATAATTTTTTCTTTAATTAAAAAAAAAAAAACTTTTGATTTTTTTATTAAATTTAACAAAAAAAATTAGGAATTTTGCAAATTTGCACACACTCAATATTCCATCCATACCATTGTTAAATAACGTCAAGGTTAAAAAATAAAATTATTATTACAATTTTTTAACAATATTATTTTGGTTTTTGCATTTAAACACTTATTTGACCTACTTAATAATAACTATATTTATTTAGATCATCAAAATAAAATTTTTTTTTTCAAATAAATTTTAAAAGCTTTTGTAAAAATTTGAAAATAATAATAAATTAATTGATTGTAAAAAAATGATGATGATATCCGGGGATTTAATTTAAATTGTTTCCACTTTGACATTATTTATTGTTATGTACGTAATTAAATTATACGTAAATAAATATATATACATAAACTTTATTTTTAAAAAAAATTTTTGGTTAATTATCAATTATAAAAAATTATTTATTAATATTTTTTTTATAAACGATTCAAGGTAATAATTTTAATTATTATTACTATTATTAAAAATTAATTCATTTTAATTAAATTAATGACTTTGATATTTCAACCCATTAGTAAAGAAAAAAAAAAATTAACGAAATTTTTTTTTAAAATTATTTTACAGGTAATTCACCGATGCTCCCGTACGGTAAAAAAATTTTATTTCATTTTTATTTTTTAAATTTAAATTTTTTATAAGAAGATGAGTCTTACATAAAAAATTCAATACTTTTATAAGTCATCTTATAAAAAAACTTGATTAAAGAAAACAAAGCCTCCACGGTGTGAAGAAAATGAGTTTCGTTCGGTGTTAAAAAAAATTTTTTTTTTTCCGGATGTATTTTAAAAAAATATGATAATAATAATATTTTTAAATAAAAACGACGTAATTTTTGTTTCTTTTTGTTTTTTTAATTAAATAAAATAATATTTTTTCGTATTTTTTGTTTATAGCAAAGGGAAAAAAAGGCGGAATTCTCCAGTAGTCTGGAAGGAAAAAAATCCAGGTGGCAGTGTTTTCAACGTCAAACGTGAAATATAAACAAGTGAGAGTTTAGTCTAGTTTTAGCTTAACAATACTCGTATTAAGATAGTTTTTTTTTTTTTTTTTTAAATAATTTTTTTTTTATTTATTTAATACTTTTTAACTCATCGTTTTATTGAAAGTTTTTTTTTGTTTATTTACGATCATAAATAAATATTTATTAATAAATAAAATTAACTAAACCCCCCCCCCTTTTTTTTTGTTTAATGATAATAAGTATATGTGTTTGTGTTTGTTGTCAAGTTTAAAATTATTAATATTTATGATAACGTCAAATTTCAAATCGAATTAAATAAGTAAGTCATAATAATAATTTTTTTCATAAATAAATTATTTTAATAAAAAAAAATTTGTGGCCTAAACAAATTGATGATGATGATGATGATCGGAAATTTTGAATAAATTTTCACCGTTCACTCAGGTATTTTTTTTTTTTATATCCCTGAACTTTAACTTTTCAATATTATTATTATTATTAATTGAAATAATTAGGTTACGCAACCGATTTTTCTTTTTTACTAAATTATTAAAATCTTTTCGTTTTGTTTGGATTCAAATGACAATAAATATTTAGTTTTAGTTTTAGTTTTTTTAATAATTCCACCACAATCGTAGTGTATATTTAATTCAATTGTAGTGAAACGAACCGTGTTAAAAAAACAATTAACATCCGGATTTTTTTTTCTTTTTGTTTTTTAAAATTAATTTTTATAATTTTTGATGGTTATACAAAAAAAATTTAATATTAAGTAGTGATGTTGAATAATATATGTAAAGTTTATTAAAAAAAAAAAATTTCTTTTGAAAATTACGTCACGTCAAATAATTCCAAAAAAATTAATTTAATTGTTTTTTATTATTATTTGTTTTTTTTTTGCGTAAATTAATTTTCTTACTTTCAGTTTTTTATAATTTATGAAAGTTTTCCCTTTTTTTTCGTGTGCGTGATGTATTAATCCCAAAAAGAGAGAGAGAGAGAGAGAGAGAAAATTTTTTTTATTTGGCGATAAAATAATAAATTTTTTGTTTTTAGGTACGTTCGACTGTTTATAAAATGGTTTTAATCCGATGTAGAAAATTAAAATGTTTCTCAACGATCTAAACTTTGTTTAACATAATAATAATAATGATGATGAAAAATATAATTCAATAATTTAGAAGTCAAAGTTGAAATAAACAAAAACCACACAACACAAAATGAGTGAAAAATTTCATAAGTAAGTAAATATTATTGTGATAGAATTTTTTTTTTTGTTTTGTGAATGCGGGAAAATACGTCAAACTTAAAAGTTGGGAAAATTTATAATTTTTGCATATTATTATTATTATTATGAATAATGTTAAATGAAACAATAGTTTGTTAAT